TTCCCCCAAGGGGGAACTCCCCGTGTTAACATAATGGAAAACCCGACATTGGACACAACCAACTTCGGTTCAGGTGGACCGGGAAAGCGCTAAACCACTTMGCCGTAATCAAGCTCTGCTTGTAAGTTTATCATTGAGGTTATGAGCCATACTCGTGAAGTGGGGCAGGTCTTACCGTACGGTACCAGGTACTGTACGACGAATGTGTTCGGATTCAACACAATGGTCTCTCACATTTACAAGTACAAACTAAATACTTTCGATATAAACCTATTATTATCTTTCTGTACCACGTGTTTACTSACAGACCATGTGGAAATTAAAGATCTTATCCAAGCAACTCTTCTTTATTCTTTCTATGAACGGACCATCATATTCTGCGGTTTCMATTGGGAGCTTCATGGCGCCAGTCGCTTGGGATCGCGCGGGAACCAGGATGCCTTTCGAATATTTGGAAGCCCCAAAAAGAGCATGACAACGCGCTCCAGCCCGATCCCACCCCCGCCATGGGGGAGGGCACCGTTCTTGAAGCTGTCCACATAACTCTCCTCGAGCTCAATGCCCCAGGCCTTGGCACGCTCCTCCAGCAAATCGACCGTGTGGATTCGTTGGGCTCCRCTCAAAATTTCCTGCCCGCGAATGAAAAAATCGTAACTGTTCGACAGCTTTGGGTTTTGGGGGTCGGGCATCGTGTAAAACGGGCGAACATCCAGCGGATACTTGTCCATGAAGAAAAAGTCGGTCCCGTACTTCTCTGCAACCAAGTCCCCGAGTAGCTTCTCGTTTTCCGTCGACAGATCTTCGTAATCTCCCTGTTCAACACCGGCCTCCCGCAGGAGGGCGCATCCCTCAGCGTAGGTCAGCTTGAGCGTGGGGTTGCAGTACCTGAGATCCTCGAAGGGATGCTGCTCCCGAACAGCTTCCAGCTCGCGCTTACAGTGTTTGTTGAGCCCATCGAATATGTGGATGAACAACTCAGAAAATAGATCGAGRACCTCGTCGTAGTGCTCTTTGATGACCATTTCCAGATCGAAACCAGTAAATTCGCACAAATGGCGGCGTGTATTCGAGTTCTCCGCTCGGAAGACGGGGCCCGTGACAAAYACTTTTTCGAATCCGGCACAGGCGCAAGCCTGCTGCTTCTGGAGTTGTGGGCTCATTGCCAACGAGGCAGTTTGCCCAAAATAATCCAGGGTGAAGACATCGGCCCCACCCTCGGAGGACCCCCGAAGCATCTTTGGGGAGTGCAGCTCAATAAAACCTTTCTTCACCAGCAACTCTCGGAAGAGCACCCCGACCATGGACTCGATGCGGAAGATCCCCTGGTTGGCGGGTGTTCGAAGATCGATCCATCGGTGGTCCAATCGTGTTTCTAAACCGACGGTCGCCATACCATCGGAACGCTTCTGGATGAGCTCGTCGTTTGCCTCGTAGGCGCCAACATCGGATTCTTTTCCCTCGTCGGGGCGCATGGCGTCCTCCATCTGGAAGGGCATAGCCTGGATCGATTTGGTCACGCATTTAAATGTGGTAATCTGGAGCTCCACCATTTTCTGTGTACACGAATCGACGGGTTGTTCTGGAACCGTGACAGTTCCCTTGAGGTCAACAATGGATTCAATGGGCAGACCCGCGATGTACTTTATCATGGCCTGGCTGATGCCCTTCTTGTCGTCCTGAAAGCAAACACCCTGGACGGTAAACATGGTCGATCGGATCTTGACAAAGACCCCCTTCCCAACCGACCGCGAGACCTGCAGGAACCCACGGATTAGAACACTTTTACCCTGCAGACTGGGGGTCAAGTCCTGTATTTCCGTCCAGATCTTGTCGGTAACTACCTGGGAACGGATCAGGGGCAGGTCTCCAAAATTGTCCGCGCCGACACCAGCCAGCTTGTCGGCCTTAGCCTTTTCGCGGGCCGCTCGCTCGAGCCGCTGCTGTTCCTTTTTGGCAGCCTTGGCGGCTTTCTCGGCGGCTTTTTTGGCCCGCTTCTCCTTGTTCTTGTCAGATGCCTCCGTGATGGCTCCAACATTCTTTTCTTTCTTTGGCTTGGGAGGGGGGCCAAAGTCTTTCCCCGTTAATTCTTTGAATTGGATCTTTTCGGAACGAAACAAACGGAATGGATYATTCGAGTTGCACATCATTGCGTGRGGAAACCAGAAATGACGGAGCAATGGTCAGCTTTTCGTTGAGGAAGGAGTTGATACAWTGGACGATTCGTTCTTTGCCACCATAATGGCCATCTGATTAGAACATAAGAATGAGTATATCTTCGCAGATACACACATAAATGTTGACAAACTACAACCACAACCACATGCACCCACACAAACGCAAGCAAACACACGCACACACCTTCAATTGGAGCATCTTCTGCAAGTGCTCGTCCCACAATTCTTTCGGCTGCTTGTCCGCCTTCGCTTGCTTAATTTTGTCACCTAGCTCGGTGATCTGAGCCGTAATTTCTTCAGCCGACGCCATGTTTTTTGTTTTACGCAGGGTATAAAGTTGTACTTGTAATTTGGAGACAWGAGCACTGAAGGAAGACCGACAACAATTATTTCTTTCCGCTTTGTCACAAACCTACGGCAGGCTTCTAGAAGGATTCATCAGATTTGCAAACGTGCGTTGAGAGCACTACGAATTACGTTGCACTGTCCTGATATTCGATCGACTTTCAAAATATTTAGATTCCATATTCCATCCATTTTGAATTTCGTAGTACAATTGTTGCAGTGCATGAAATGTAATGAGGTGTACAAAGTACGTACCGTACAGACACTGGTTCAATTGAAAGCACCGTTGTCACTCCACATTACCAACGTTAACCGAAGAAGACATTTTTTAGCATGCCATTGTGTAGATTTTGATAGCACGTTTAATATGTCCCAGTTGCGCATTGTATAATTGGGTGATTGAAATTACGGTGTTTGTTCTCAATTGGTACTGATATTGCAACAAATGCTGCCAACAATATCCTTGGCATTTCATCTTGTTTTGTCTTCAGCAATTATTTTTATCRCCTCTGAAAAGAAATTCACAACAACTTAAACCATGGCTGAACCACAGGACATTGATGCATCATGTAGGTCTATCGATAGCGCAAGTACCGCAAAAATGGAATTATTTCACCAAGAATCAACCTGTGTGGATAAAGATTACTTCAACAATGAATCTCAACCAGCCACAAAAGATATAGTAGGTGAAAGGCTTGCCCA